CTATGAACTTATATGCTAAATACTTTAGATCATTTCATTGAATATATGAATTGATCAAAGTTAACTGAATACATTCAACAATCTCTATCATTTCATACTTGATAGCTTTCATTACATCTTTTTTCTCCCATAATAGAGTAGTGAGTAAGAGCTGATCCGGATCATGTTACTGTATTTGTTAAAGATAGTGGTTTAAAATAATGATTGATTAGTTGGAAAACAATGATCCTAATTGATACACTGATCAATGAACAATAGTCAATGTTTAAATGTTTACTTGTCTTTGAGTCCCTTCTAATCCAATAGACAATTAGAACATGATGATAGGAAATAGATGGTAAGACTATGATTAATGAACGACCTAAAGTGACTTTGAGGATGTTCATTTATTTATTAACTCCACCTGGAGTCCCTCCGGGGGCACTGCCGGCCCCCGAATGCCCTGGTATGGCCGAAAAAGAGGAGGGTCCACTCTCCCGCTCGAAATGCTCTCACATGGCCACGCATGTATAGCCTCGCTAGGGAAGTACTACTCACTGCTTTCTCGAGGCGGAGGTGTTGTTTACGAAAATGAGAGGACAAAAAGTGAATGTCCGGCGCTTTAACCGAATCCCAAACCAATGCTGCACATGGGCTGACTCCAGTATCCTGAAGAAACTAATGGCGTATGAACCAACCGTCGGTCACCGGCTACCATGAGACTGCATCTCCTTACCATGCTCTACTTCCTTGTGGATCAGATTTTCAGATCAAAGGCTCGGGGTGTCCCCCCCTGAGAAAACCACCTGCTTCGGTTTGGGCACCCGGTCAGTATCACAGCCCCCACACATATTAAATGAGATTTATGTGGCACATATCTATTTAGTGCCTCCTTGTACCAATATCTGTGTTCTAATAATAATAATAATAATAAATGTCATTGTTTACTTATTTGTTTTGGTTAAATCTCATGCACGTGAAAGATTTTTCATTAGCTAACCTTGATGGCAGTTCATGATATAAAAGATCTCTTCACAATAGGTATTCTTAATAGATTTTCTAAGATAGAACACTGCTATTGATATACACAAAAGGAGGTTTTGAGAATTCCTGAGTAGTAACTAAACTGAACAAGTATAAGTGTATATTGTCTAGATTTACCTTAATCAATGACTTACTACCTTCTCTCTAAGTGAGTGGTATCTACGTAATTAAGAGGATAGAAAGCGAATATCCAGTGCTTTAACCAGATTAGTAGATATAGAGGATCCACCTAGAGGAGTTGAAAAACCTATATTCCAAACCAATGTGGCACATGAGCTCCAGGATCCTGAAGCAACCTATTTTTAGTCACTGACTTCCATGGAACTGCATTTCCTTACGTTGCTCTACTACCTTGTGAATTAGACCTTTAGGTTGAAGGCTCCGGTTATGGCCTCAGATAGTTCATTATTCATCAGATCATAAATCATTACACAATGACAGAATAGTGCACTTTCCTATAGAGATACCTACGATTAAACATTTGCAATGAACTTATATCTAATTTTATTGATTAAGTCTTATAGTCAAATAATTATATAGACTGGGATAACATATACTTCATCATTGCATTTTTATCTTGGGATTCGGTTAAAGTGCCGGATATTCGCTTTTCATCCTCTAATTTTCCTAGACAACACCCCCGCCACGAGAAGGCAGTGAGTAGGACTTCCCTGGCAGAGGCTATTTACGCGCGCCCATTGAGAGCATTTGGAGAGGGAGAGCGGACTCTCCCCACTCTCGGCCATACCAGGGCATTTGGGGGCTCATTATCGCTAATCATTAGTTTACTTTCGAACTTAATACAGTGAACTAAGTATCTCATGTACATTCACAATAATCGTTATCTATAAGAAGAAACATATATAACTATGTATACACTGACATTTCATTTACATTCAGTAATCTATTTCCGTAATGTCCATCGCAAATCACATATTGTTCCAATAAGTTGCATCTTCAAATCCCCTACTAATCTAATTTGGTTTGGGTGAATAAGTTAGGATCGCTAACCTTTATACAACTAATGTGGCTTATGGTTGAATGCGAAAACATGTACATTTTAAATGAATTACTCGTACAGTACTCGTGGAAGGGGTGTTGTTTATGAAATTGAGAGGATGGGAAGCGAATATCTGGCGCTTAAACCATGTTGGTAAGTACGGAGAATCCATCTAGGAGGATTGTAAAACCCTAACTCCAAATCAATGGTAAACATAGGCTCTAGAGGGAATAAATAACGTATGAGTCTATTCTTGGTCACTGACCTCTTAAGCAAACCTCGTGCTTCGGTTTGGGCACACGGATAGTATTTCATTCAACCCACACACCAATTCAATGATTTGTGTGGTGCATATATTTTTGGTGTTTATTTGTGCTAATATTTGTGTTTAAATAAAATAGGTAAGGAGTACTGTGAGAATGTCACTAAAACGAAACGGAGTAAACTTTGGAAACTCTTTCATGGAAGGATTTCAGAAGAAATAAATGAATCATGGTAAAAGCCTCAAAATCCACATAAGACAACTATGTTCTTAATAATGAAGCACATACTTAATTGATTCTTGAATAGACTTAGTAAAGTGAAATATGGACAAATCATTTTATGAAAATCTCAAATACATGACTGTATTTTTAATCCGGTAACAAAATTGACATCCTATTTGTATAGGATAAATGATTGGTACATGAACACTTCCATTAGCATGGCAAAGTGAAATAATAGAAATTTGGAAACAATCAAGTAAAAGCTACCAGTTAGGTGATGGTTGGAAGTAGTCGACAGGAAACCCCGGACCAGGGTTTCGTGCTAATTGACACTCGTCAGCAAGGTGAACCTGAAACCTTTGAGGGAACTGATGCTCCCTGGAGGACTCGACCCCGTGTCACCCAGCTTCACAGTCAGAGACGTTATCACTGAGCTATCCGGGCCGCGACCGACCTCCTGTAGGACTGAGATGTAATCACAATTGATTGATCACTGGGTGGTGACCGATTTCATGCATGTCTGGGCAGATCGAATGCTATCGACCATGTTGGAATGTGGCCACCAGTCTCGGTGACTCGACACTGCGCCAGGGAGCATCAGTTCCTTCAAAGATTACAGGTACACCTTGCTGACAAGTGCCAAGTAGCACGAAACCCGGGTCCAGGGTTTCCTGTCGACTACCTCCAACCACAATCTAATCTCACAATAGTGCCCACAGTGTCCAGTCACCTACACTGGTTGCCTCATTGCAACATGGTCGATAGCATTTGATCTACACTAATAATAAGGACTAGACACGTATGACATTGGTCACCACCCAGTGATCAATCAATTGTGAAAAACTACCAGTTTAAGTAAGTCGCAAACAATATAGAACCTGGCATGAATAAATATCCACCTAAGTAATCATATTTCACAATAAACCACTAAAAATGAATAGAAGAGACAATGAATTTAGTAAAAACAATGGTGTTGACAGGAATGGAGAACTAAGGCAGAGAACGTAAAAGAAAAAATGGAAATAGGGAGTGGTCCATAACCCCAGATTGATTGTTGACAAGTAAAAAGGAAAACTGACTTCAGCTTTACTGATATCATTAATTAGTTGTGACAATATGCACAATCGAACTTTCCCTTCATTAGCCATAGGATAATTCTTTTATTTCAGAAACTCCCAGAAGGATATTTACAACTAGATATAAGAAAAAATTCAAAGATATGCCAGACTAGGACACATTTTACACCAAAGCTAGGTATGTATTTAAACAGATAACCTCGACACTCTTTATATACATTTCGTTCACACTGTTTAAACTTCTCTGGACTTGAATAGGCTATAATCTAGTCACCTTATAACTGTAGAAAACTAATTTACTAACTGTAAGCACAAAATTGTCACAATCAACAAAAATAAATGATCTGCTGAACAATAAGTTTAGTTCCATTCCTGATGGAATCTAACGAATGGATGGAGTACTACAATGTTAGGAAATTATATGAAGACAAATAATGAATCTAGCTGTGTCATTATGTTTATAACTTCAAACCATGTTGTCAACCATTAGGTATGATCGTCGTGTATGCTTCAACTACGAAGTTTATGTCTTTTTATGTGGATTAAACACAAAAACAGTCACTTCATAGATTGATTCCATTATGATCTTTCTATAATAAAAGTTCCCTTAAACTCGATTTACACAAGCCAATATATTACTAATGCAAAATAGTGCATTTTAAGAACTACTTCATAATAATAAATATATTAGTGTATATAAATTAAGAAAAAACATTACAACCTGTGGACCAATACAAAGTTACAGGCTTAGATAAACAAAATAACTTAGAAATATGATTAGGTAAGTCTTTAGTAAAAACATCAACACAATCTAAATTTAAAACTGTTAAAGGTTCACATAAATTAGATAAGATACTATTAAGTTCTATCATAGGACAAGTACATACATGAATAGCTATTAAAGAAGTAACACTTAACCGTTTTTGAATTGTTTTGATGTTATCTAAAAAGTTATTTTTTTCATCAATTAAGTCATGATTTGTCAAAAGTAACACAACAGCATTACCTGCAAATAAAATAAAATATACTAGTTTCAAAACGAAAGTACAATTTTTAGGTTCAGATAGTAGCTTACAGTCTATTACAAGAACGATTGGTCCAGTTGGTTTTATGCAAAGATGAGCAACTGGAATAAGGAGTGTATCTTGTCTTTTTCCAGTAAGGAAAAGTTTCCCTGGACCTCCCAAAAGCTTGCTAGTGTAACGCATGAAATATTTGAATACATCTTCTTTAAGTAGAACATCAACTAAGGTTTCATCTTTAAACACCTCACTTTGGATTAATTCATAACCTTTGGTCATTGAACTGACTTGAGCAGCACGAGCAGTAGAGATGACTGTACTTAATGTATTATATAGCGTCCCATTGTTATTCGTTTTTGATACCTCATTTGGAAAACATGATGATCCATTTACTTCAAAAAGCCTTGTGTACATTGTCGCAGCTAGTTGGCGATTAGAAGCATTTACAAAAACGTTGTCTACACCCGACAGTAGTAACATCTGGAAAAGTTGCCATATGATATTTGAATCTGTTTGCCATATATTGATCGCGAATTCATAGCTCGTCGGATTAACTTTATTGGGTTTATGATTATTGAGATGGTCGATAAAATATGTCAGTAAAGACACACTTTCTTTAACAGTACGGAAGCATAGAACATAGGCGACTGGACCGCTCCTTCTATTAACTTTGACAGATGGTGGAGTAATATCATAAACAATTATTGGGGAGTGTGGTATTTTTTGATTATGACGAAGAATTTTCGCACCGACAGAGTCTGCATAAGATACTACTTCATTAATATAATTAGTACAGAATGGTGGATATTCTGATTTTTCGTCACTGTCCAATTCTTCTGCAGATGTGTTTAGATTAATAAGGCCTTCCATACGACCAATAAAACGTTTGTAGATAGATTCCTCGACTAAAATGACGGGTGAGTGGCCTATTCCAGTACCCAGAGCACTTTTTAATGATGATACACAGTACCTAGCAGCTGAGTCTATGTCCGATGATTGGTAAATCATTGCTATGTTCCGACCATTACAGTAACTTTCAGTGCTTTTGCAAAAGATAGGTAGAAAACTAAATAGTTTGTTTGGAGGAACAGATTCATGAATAATACGAGTTAATATAGCCAATGGAAACATTAGCCGTAACGACTTGCACGTAACAACTAAACCATGAAACTTTCCCCGATATGCAGGACAGCATAAATAACGAAGTATAAATGTAAAATGGAAGATAAAATCACAATCGTCTTTTTCAATTACGTGGTCGGGATAATAAAAGTAGTCTTCATCCATAAAGGGGAAATGAATAAACTCTTTCATTTTCTTAATAACTTCTCGAATTACTTCACCAAAGAAGTCAATGGACTTGAATTCAAATGAAGCAAAGATGGATTCAAGCAACAGAGACATGTTAACTTCAAGAGAACTTACAAGCCTTTTTAGGAAACTTTCCAAAGACTTCAAATCATACTCAAGACTTTTTGCAAGCTTGATAGCTTCTGGGTTCATCGACTGACAGCTGAATACAGAGAGATCCAGTGAACCAACTTGTATTTTGTCTATGCTCTCTTTCACTTCTGGCTCAATGAAAACCCCATCCACATATGGGAGAATGTTTTGACTTCTGTTTTTAAACGTATCGTCTGAAGACATCTTTGAACAGAATGAAGGTAATTTGGAGAAAGGAGTAAAACGTTTAGACATTACTTATTGTATTCTTCAGTTCGATTAGATGGCCGAGATTGCCTTGAGAATTCAGAGATTTGAGCAAGAGAACACGAAAAAAGGCTGACAGGTCAGCCAGAACGCTCGATGCACTTGTAATGTTTAGTCTTTGGTAGGTTTGCGCTAATCCTGAAGGTTGATTTTGTTCTGGGGAAGTATGAGTAGCAGTATATGATACAAACTGAAAGAGAAAAAAATAGCAGTTGTAAAAAGTTTTATCGTCGTTTATTTTAAGACAGGTAGTTTCTACACCAACAGCATACAAACCAGAATCAGTCAATGTGAGGAAGAACACGACGCGTGAGAAACAATGTATATATTTCTGAAATAAAAAAAAACACTGTTATGTGACAAAAGGAGAAGCTTATTAACAAAAATTAGTCCCATACATCATTTTGCATGTCTAGTTTACCAGGTCTTGTTCTCTTTCCTCCCAGCACATTTACACATTTACAACGATTCCAAATCCTACACCAAGGTTGACACTCAATAGTAATTATATATCTTCGCCGCGAGTTAGTTTAAACTAAATAGTTGTCTTCGTTAGCTTCTTGAAGTTGAGGTTCAAACACAGATCTTTTTGTCATTCTACGTGAATAACCTAGCAACACAGTTACAACTATTTGAAAATGGATATATCGTTAATGTAAACGACTCCTTTGTTTTGAGACATTGAGGTTGCTGAAACTAGCAGCTATCACGTTACAGGACAATCAAGTGATTGGTTATAATACAGAATGTAGTGAGATAACACTGTAATTGGCACCGTGATGTGCAAATTAATTGACAACGGTAAATACCATGTCTCCTCTTTGGTCACGTATTTATGGTCACATTTATGTTTCAAATGGTTCAAATGTTTGTGGACGGAATAGAAGAAGCATTTGCTTAACGGGCTTCCGTGTCTAGTAGCAGTGGATCACCAATACCTCCAGGCAAGAACCTAGGTATATTAACGATAATGAACGAAAAAAGAAATTGGTAAATCATAGTAAGATATTATCTTTAGTATTTAAGAATATGTCAAGTTTCCTCCTTAAGGACTCCTGGGAAGTCGTTTGAACTAGCTTGACCGGCAGCGAATTCCAGCATTTGAAAACTCTTAAGGAGTAGAAGTTGTGTCTCCAGTCCGTTCTGCTATCTTGTGTCTCCAGTCTCTGGGCGTTACCCCCTAGGTTTGTGTTGGACTAAACTTAAGTAGGTGTTCAAGAGGATGTCCAGAAGTGTTAAGGATACTGTAGGCCATTAGAAGGTCACCTCTAAGACGCCTATATTCTAATGAGTAAAGGTTTATTCGTTGGAGGCTCTCTTCATAAGGCTTGAATTTGAGTTCCCGAACTGACTTCGTGTCTCGCCGTTGGAAACGCCCTAGAGTGTCCTTATCCTTTTGGAGTGAGGGAGGGAATACTATGTTTCCGTACTTTAAATGGAGATGAATGAAACTGTTGAAGATTATGTGGAAAGTTCTTCCGTCGAACTGGCCAAAACTGCGTTTCAATGTTACCAGTGCAAGGTTTGCTCGAAGGGCATTTTTGTCACAGTTAGCGTAGGAATTCAAATCGTAGGGTACCAGCACTCCTAAAACTTTTTCAACTTGGAACACTTTTAGAGAGCAGTTTCTTAAGTTGTAAATGTAGTCTGCAGCATGTCTCAGATGGATTACTTCACACTTCGAAGTGTTGAAAGTAGGTCCGTTGTGATCTCCCCAACTTTGAAGTCGAGTCAGATTCTCCTGAACTGCCAGTATATCCTCTTGGTTGCGTACCTCTCTCTCCAGAGTTTCACATCATCAGCAACAGTTAATGACTCAGACGATACCTGTTGTGGAAGATCGTTTATATAAATCAAGAAAAGAAGAGTTTCTTAGTACTGGACCCTGAAGGAACACCAGAACATTCCATAGCCTGAGAGAAAGTGAAGTTAATCCTGACCTTAAAATGTCGACTTTATGGTGACGTATATTCCGTGATTTTTTGTAACGGTAGTTAAGCAAATTCTTTGTGCTTCTAGCCAACCTTTAGATTTAGAGAATCTAGCTAGCATGGTCAACAAAATTTTAGAGGTAACACCTTGTACTACACCGTATGTGCAGACACTATCAGAGACTTCGAATGACAGGCAAACTCCTACAATAGCGTCGTTAACAGCCGAATTAGGTGAACTACGAGCACATCACGAACGAACCATTGCCAGTCTCGAAAATAAACTAGATGGATTACAACTATTACTTTCCAATCTCACATCTAAAAGGTCTCGCTCCAGTTCCCGAGGGAATAAGAATCGAGACACCTCAAAATGAAAGAAATATGATGATCACATATGTTGGTACCATAGAAAATACGGTGACAAAGCTAGGAAATGCGTCACGTCTTGTAAATTTTTCAAGTCATTTTCCTCACCTAAAGGTGTCAACCAAACCATGGTAACAACAAATATTTCGAGTGATCCTCATACTCGCCTTTTCCATGTCCTTGATAAAACTTCAGCATATAAATTCTTAGTAGACACTGGAGCCGAAGTCAGCGTTATTCCCGTTACCTTAGCCAACAAACACGTTCCTAAGGGTGGAAAATATACCCTAAGGGCGGCTAACAGGACGGAAATAAAGACATTCGGCGAACAATTTCTAACATTAGACTTGGGAATTAAACGTCATTTAACTTGGATATTTATTATTGCTGACGTCCGCCACCCCATATTAGGTGCAGATTTTTTAAGCTTCTACAACTTATTAGTTGACGTAAAAAGAAGAAAACTTATTGATTCCTACACTAAACTTCAAGTCCTGGGAATTCAATCAGACTACCACATACATAGTATTAAAATTGAAACTCCAGGAAACGACATATTCACCACTATTTTATCCAAATTTCCCAAAATAACGAAACCGGACTACAGTGAAAACGCGGTCCAACATTCTGTAGTACACCGGATAATCACAAAGGGCCAACCAACATCGGCACGTCCACGCCGATTACCACCGAACAAACTGAATGTTGCAAAGGCTGAATTTGACCACATGATGCAACTAGGTATAATACGTTCTTCAAGTAGCCCATGGGCATCCCCACTCCATATGGTGCCCAAGCGGGATCAGGATTGGCGACCCTGTGGTGATTATAGGTCATTGAACAACCTAACGTAACCGGACCGTTACCCAATCCCTCATTTACATGATTTTTCGCTCACTTTACACGGCAAACATTTTTTTTCTAAAATCGACTTTGTATGAGCGTACCATCGAATCCCAGTAGCACACGAGGACATAGCAAAAACAGCCATCATTACTCCATTTGGTTTGTTTGAATTCCTGAGAATGCCATTTGGATTAAAGAACGCCGCACAAACTTTTCAACGATTTATGGAAGAGGTCACTAAAGGCCTAGATTTCGTTTTCGTGTATATTGATGATGTAGTGATAGCTAGCAAGTCGTTCCACGAACACATTGATCACCTACATCAATTATTCGAAAGATTTCAGAAATATGGCATAGTTATTAACCCATCCAAATGTATTTTTGGGTTCGAGAGTTTAGAGTTTTTAGGTCACATGATCAACAAACATGGAATTAAAACGTTGGATACATAAATAGAAGTCATCAAGAACTTTCCAGAACCCGATTCATTGAATAAACTTCGGCGTTTTTTAGGGATGATCAATTTTTATCATCGCTTTATTCCACATTGCTTAGCCATTCTACAACCTTTGACCGAGGTGTTAAAAGGCAAAGCTAAAAAGTTCACATTACCCCCTCAAGCGAAAGATGCTTTTTCTGCAGCTAAAACAGCAATCGCTGCTACAACTATGCTGACCTACACAAACCCTGATCCGGAAGCAACACTAATCTTGTGTACAGATGCATCTCAGGCAGCAGTAGTTGCGGTACTACAACAGCGAGTGAATAATGAGATCAAACCACTTGCCTTCTTTTCAAAGAAGCTAGAACCAACTCAAACACGATATAGTACTTTTGGTAGGGAACTGCTGGCTATTTATCTGGCTGTTAAACATTTTAACCACTTACTTCAAGGCAGAGATTTTGTGATACTCACGGATCACAAACATTTAACCTATGCTTTCAACGCTAAAAGTGATCGATATTCTCCTAGAGAAACGTGACAATTGGACTATATTTCTCAATTTTCAACCAACATGCAGTTTATAAAAGCTGAATCAAATGTTGTTGCGGATACCCTGTCACGTTTCAATGTCGATGCAATTTCCTTCACCAAAGGAATCGATTTATCAGAGATGGCACGTCTACAAATAGATGATCCCGACCTTGTAGCTTGTAAACAAAATTCGAGCCTGTCCTTAAAAAGTGTTCCTATACCGCATTCCGACTCTACTATCATTTGTGATACTTCGACCGGAATACACAGACCTTTTGTTCCAATAGCGTACAGAAAAATAGTTTTCGATTGCCTTCATTCTCTATATCATCCAGGAATCCGCGCTACTGTGAAACTGATTTCTGAAAGATTTGTTTGGCCAAAGATGAATGCAAATATAAAACAATGGACTAGAAATTGTTTACAATGCCAGCGCAGCAAAATTCATAGACATACAATTACAACACCGTCAACATTTAGTCTACCCGATCATCGTTTTCAACATGTTCATATTGATCTAGTCGGTCTTTTAGCTCCATCTAACGGATTTACTTACATCTTTACTGCAGAAGACCGTTTTACCAGATGGCCGATTGCTTGCCTAATAAAAGACATCGCCGAAAATGTTGCTGCCGTACTTCTCGACAGATGGATCGCTAATTTTGGTGTACCTTCCACAATTACTTCTGACAGAGGTTCGCAGTTCCAATCTCAACTCTTCAACGAATTTACCCGCATTTTGGGAATCCATCACATCACTACAACAGCATACCATCCAGCAGCGAACGGACTAGTAGAACGATTCCACAGACAACTAAAAAGCTCACTGATGGTACAACCTGATGTTTCTAGATGGAGCGAATCCC